TCTGCGCAGCACAGTTAGCCTGGCCGACAGGACTTAACTTTCTGCAACAAGTGGCCGCAAGCGCAAGATACGAGATGGAGACGCTCGGCCAACCATCGTTATTTGCTAATAAAACCGTAGAAGCCATCAGCTGCATCTGTGCATTATTAAGAAGCTGCACGCCGAACCAGCCATTTCACTCGTTTCATTACTGCTGCAATCACCACTACCGCTGTTGCTATAATCATATCAGTAATATTTTTTCGGTCAAATTCTCCCAGAAATCGACGATCTAACCATCCTATCTCTGCGGGATAGAGGCAACGAACAAGGCACTACTAAGAAACGGCTGACGTAAATCCAGGCAGTTCCAAGAGTGAAAAAGCTGCACATCCTCAAAGCAAACACGGTTACGTGTAGTGCCAACAGCCTTATGAAATGGACCTGTCGGCGGAACTCAACGCCACTTTATAAAAGGAAAACATTCGATCTAAAGAAAAACGATCGATAATTTTTATATAAATAATAAATCTTCTTCTGTAAACGACAGCGAAGCAACACGACTTGAACTGTATACAGCTGTTTACAGTGACATCGGCAAGTGACATCACTTCTAAGCCTAAGTTCATCCGTCAGTGCAAAACCAACTTGCTTCGATGTTAAATTGCAAAAAAACACAAACCACATCAGGCAGTCAGGAAAGTCTGCTAAAATGGTCATTCCACACCAGCCAGTGTGCGGCTAATGATACTAAAAAAAAAAAAAAAAAGAAATATCATTATAAAAAACTGGTGGCCGGCAAGCGCTGTAGGCAGTGCCATCTCCAAATGCTTTTGCTCACTCATACCTTTGGTGAGGTACGAAAATGAAGTATTTGGTAAATACTTGCAACGGACTTACCAAGGCTTCACCAGTAAGCACTTCAATAAGGTGACAAAGAAGGACTCCATCTTTCAAATCCTCGAACAAATCCTTCACTAAGCCCGATGAACTGTGCTGAAAACGATGCATCGTCCAATCGCTTTTACAGAACTTCACATGCAACAGAAAGGTACCCTCACTTACCACTTGATCTACGCTTACTATACGTTTTTTGTATCTATGCGATGCAAAAATATATATTGTTGAGGGGTTGTCTGTGTGCGTGTTTTGCCTACGTGTCTGTGTATTCGTCTATATCAATTTTTCATATCGAGACCCAGAAAAGCTACAAAGCCGAAATTTTGGGAAATTAACCTACATACATGAATTTAATCCCTATCTCCAAATGGACGCTCTTGCCCATGTGGCTCCTACGTACAGCCCCGTGAAATTTTTGGTGAATACGTTGCTAATTCGGGAATCAGTAAAGCTAGAAAACTAGAATTTTAAGAGGATATTCCTTGCCCATGTACAATCAAATGATTTCAAACTCAGCCCCAGGTGTGCGCGGTTTTCGCGTGCGGACCCGTAACAATTTCCGGTCGGTAAGTTGCTAACTCAAGAACCAGAAAAGATAAAAAGCTGAAATTTTAAGGGGATGTTTTCTGACAGTCGCAGTAGCCAGTCACAATTCTTTTACCTAAAAGCATCTGCCGGACAAAAACAGTGTCGTTAGTGACAAAAACCCGCGCGAAA